TAAGACTCCCACACACACACACACATTCCCCCCCCCCCCCCAAAAACACCCCTGGGGGGGGGGTTGAGAGAGAATGAGTGGCCGAAAATCACCCGGACAACTTTCCAGCCAAAGGGGAGCTTAAAGCTCCTGGTTTTTTGGCCAATGCCTTCTCCGCTACCCCAGATCCACTGACTATATTAAAGTGGAAAGCTGTTCACAGTGTTTAAGGGCAGGCTGTTTGCCCAATACTTGTTTTCTTTGGATTCAGTTCCTGGCTCAGCGAAGAGGAGGCTTGGAGGGGGCCCCTCCCCTTCTCTTTCAGCAGCAAAGCTCTCTGGGAACTGCCTGAGGAAGCCTTTCACTCACAGGGGGGCCGGGGGGGGGTGTCCTTCTTCCCAAAGCAGCTAAGAAGAAGAAGTCGTCTCTGCTCCCTCTGGAATACTTGGAAGGCCGGGATTCCGCTCTGGACTGGCTCCGGTCGGAAGCCAGCCGCTCCAGCTGTGCCCGTTTCAAAGCTGTCTCTGGGGATGCAGCTGTGGTTGAAGAAGTCCTGCCTGGAACCCTCAAAGTAAGAGTCCAAGAGTCCTCGCGGGCTGCGGATGGCAAAGCCGGGCAGGGGATGCAGCTGCGGACGGGGCCAGGGTCTCCCCCAGGCTTAGAGAGGCCCCCGAAGCGGCCTCCCCAGGCACAGGCAAGCTGAGCCCAGCGGACCGTGTCCCGCTCCAGGTTGGGGAGGGCTCTGGCCTGGGCTTCCTTGCTGCCTCTGGTGCTGTGGGGAGCTTCCTCGGGGGGCTCCTTTCCGGGGTCCTCTTGAAGATGGGGCCTCACCGGGCTTCCTTACCGACCGTTTTCTGACTCTGTCCTAGAAGAGCTGTGATGAAAAGAGAAGAGAGAAGAGCTCCCAGGCCCCCCCAGGGGAGCGATCCCATGAGACCTACCGCCTGCTGAAACGCAGGAACCTCATCATCGAGGCAGTCCGAAACCTGCGCTTGATCGAGAGTTTGTTTGTGTAAGTTGGAGTGGCAGAGCCCGCCAGTCAGGGCCAGCTGGGCAGAAGAGCTTGGCAGAGGCGCCAGCCCTCTCAGGCCGTCCTCCCGAGCCATCTCCAGAAGAGTTGCTCCTGCTGCCACTGCAGAGCAGGCCCCTCAGTTGCTTCCTCCTTCCAGGCTTCAGAAAATGATCATGGATCAGGAGAAGCAAGAAGGGGTCGCCACCAGGTGCTGCAAGAAATCCATTGTTCGCTTGGTCCAGAAGCTCTCCCAGGAGGGCCTCCTGCGCCTCTTCCGCACTACCGTGATCCAGGACGGCATCAGCCGCAAGGTAGCCCTCCCTTCCCCAAAGGCTGGAGGAGGAGAAGCTTCCGGGGTAGGCGGAGCAAGAGAGCGAGGGAAACCCGGCCCTTCCCCTCAAGGGGTCACTTCTGCCCTTCCGGAGAAGTCTCGGAAGCGACACTCCTGCCAAGCGGCTGAACTCAAGGAAAGGAGGCCGGGTGTCCTGGGCTCAGCAGACATGGCAGTCCATCCCCCGCCAGCTCCGGCAGAAGCTTCCTTCTCCAGGGCTCAGGATTTATTTCCTTTCCAGATAAGGAAGAGTTTGGCTTTGGAATGAGGAAGCGGCCAACGTGCCTTTTACAGGGCAGCCTGTCCTCCGCAGGGAGCCTGGCCAGCCGCACAGCCACGCACCCTTGGCAGCTTTCAGCCCCTCTTGCTGGAGCTGCGGGGCAAGTTGGAGGATTTGCTTCAGCAGGGCCTCCCCCCCCCACCCCCCTTGAAGGCTCTGTCCCAGCTGGAGAAGGGAACGGCCAGGGGACTCTTTCATAAGGAGAGAGCCAGTTTGGTTAGTGGTTAAGTCACCGGGCTAGAAGGTGGGAGACCGTGAGTTCTAGTCCACCGTAGCCATGTAAGCCAGCCAGGTGTCTTTGGGCCCTTAGCCCAATCCACTTCACAGGGTGGTGGTTACGGGGAAAATAGGAGGAGGGAGTTACCCTGATAGGTTTGCTTCCTTGAGTTTTATAAAAATAATAAAGGTGATACGTGAATGAATGTGTTCCCTCTGGATTCTTTTCTTGACAGGTTGAATTTGTGGTTGATCCATCTGTGACTCCAGGTGACCCATTGGTGAAAAGTGCCATCGAGCAAGTGCGTTTCCGAATCTCCACTTCAAGTTCTGTGAACAGGCAAGTGAACAGGCCACCCGAATGATGAATGAGTGTTGTGTTCTATTTTTACTTATGTATTGTCTTATGTCTTGTCTTGTATTCCCCTC